AGACCAATGGAAGCAAGTCATATTCTCAAACAAGTCCAATTTTTCTCTTTTCCCAACTTCAGGGCGAGTTTATGTGTGGAGGCAGCCCAAAGAAGCTTACAACCCTGACTGCCTTCTTCCAACAGTGAAGCATGGAGGTGGATCAGTGATAGTTTTGACCGCCATATCATGGAAATGTCTCAGTCCAATAGTTTCCCTGCATGGTAGAATCAACAGCAAAGATTACCTGAACATTTTAGGAGATCATGTGTATCAAATGGCCAAGACTTTATTCCCTGATGGTGACTGCATCTTCCAAGACAATAATGCTCCAATACATACCGCTCGAGTGGTTAAGAATTGGTATGAAGAGCATGAAAGTGAGCTAGAACACATGGAGTGACCTCCCCAATCTCAAGATATCAATATTATTGAACATTTGTGGTGCATTTTTGAGCAACAAGTTAGGATCCGCTATCCTCCACAGTCGTGTCGTAAAGAGCTGGAGAAGGTTTTAATGGAAGAATGACTGAAAATTCCTCTGGATGAAGTCAGGAAGCTGTATGATTCCATTCCTAGACGTATTAAAGATGCCTGTGAGGCTAAAGGAGGACCAACTTCATATTAAATAAATTTTCTTTGAATTTTCCAATTATTTCTTCCAACCCCTGCGCATAATATATATATATATATATATATATATATATATATATATATATATATATTACCTATGTAATACCTGGCCATTAGTATTCGAGGAAAATCAAGAAAATCCATTATATATATATATATATATATATATATATATATATATATATATATATATATATATATATATATATATATATATATATATATATATATATATATATATATACACACACACATATATATATATATATATATATAATTTTCCATCTTTTGATAAATATATTATAACTATTTAGGAAGGCTTAGAAGTTAATTTATTTACTTGAGTATTCCGATTTTATCGAACAGCACAAAAGAATTTGTTTATTCAAAACTCACACACACATATATACTCACATAAGCCATCTGTTTACTTTTAATAGCATAGACCTGTTAAATGCGACAGACACACACACCATACACACGCACACACACACACACACACACACATATATATATATATATATATATATATATATATATATATATATATATATATATATCGCATTTAACAGACTTCCGAGGAATTTTATATTTGCGGTACGTTGCAGTGATACTCCCATAAGCCATCTGTTTACTCTTAACAACATAGACCTTGTGCCCGACGAACTAGTAACCCAACGAAACTGAAGTCGCACACCAAAACGTAGGTACACGTATATGTGCTAATTAATATCTATCTTTGCTCTGTATAACCACATCGATCACTATTACGTTTACACCTCATATATGAATTTGGCGATTATTTATTTGCTTGCCGCGGATGCACACCAGCACACGCGTATACCCTTGCTTATATCTAACCGTTTGATTTACCTATCTTATAACTATATATATATATATATATATATATATATATATATGAAGAGACCACTAAAGAAATGTATGCACACTTCTGAAAAGTCAAAAAAAATTGTATAGATCTTGTAATACTAAATTTATTCAGACATCACGAGATTAATACAAGTTAACCTTTGGACTCTACAATCACAAGAGACCTTTAGCTTCCAGACATTTATTAGTAAGGTGAACTACTGTATGGCCAACTTTGGCCAAATTGTCCAGTGGGATCATTGCCCATGCATTTTCAATTTCTTGTCTGAGGGCCGCCAATGTAATGTCATTTGTCAAGAGATTTATCTTACTACAGCAAACAGTGTTTTCGTAATTTGATAAAACTTCGAAAAACAATTTTTTTCCCTTTCCTGAAGTGTGTATACAATTTTTGGAGACTCTGTATATATATATATATATATATATATATATGGACAACAACAATTACCCACTACAAATGTGCATTCTTGTTTCGATGCCTTATTGCATCTGGACTTATTGTTCTATTCTTAATTATTGTTCTTCAATGATAATGTTATTAAACTTATCAGACGTTATGAAAAGAATTTACATAAAATAAATAGAGAACACTTGTCTATATTATTTAATGAAACGTGTATGAATGAAAAGATGCTGCCTAAATACACAGAATATATATATATATATATATATATATATATATATATATATATATATATATATATATAGATAATGAGAAGCCACGTATATTTTCTTAATATGTATATATAGAAAAAGTTGCAAATTAAAAAATAATAATGTTTTTTATGAAAGCATTTATTTACTTATATATATTTTTGATGTTTCAGAAATAACTGTTTGTTTACAAGTAGCGTCCGTCGCGAGACGCGGACGTCACGTGATATGGAACGCCACTGTGTTCGAATATTCTTAACGTAAATCTAACTGTAATAATATTTTAGATGTTGTTTAAAAATAATTTTTTTTATTCATATCTAAAAAATGTTTAACTATTTCAATAGTTAAACATTTTTTTTTAGATATAGTTAAAATCTATACTTGTACTTGTACGGACGCTACTTGTAAACTCACAGTTATTGCTGAAGAAAGATTGAGGTCAATCTGAAATATGAAATATATATATATATATATATATATATATAAAATACTTTAATAAAAAAACATTATTATTTTTTTAATTTTCAACTTTACATATATATATATATATATATATATATATATATATATATATATATAATGGCTAGATTAGGAACTATCAAAGCATTCTGTTCTCTTTTGATCAGATTGGCCTTTTAGAATCAAATGTATGTTTAGATGTATTACGGTGAAGCTTTTTTTTTTTTTACTAAGTTCATATTTAAAATTAAGACATAGATTTTCGAATGTGGTTTTGAGATTATCATTTTTTTTTCGCTAAAATAAAAATATCGTTACAAATAGCGGGCATATATCTTGGGTTTAGTGACGTTTTTAAATATCGTATTTTCTACGTGGAACATATAGTAATTTTCCGATACTAACACCATTAATTTTGGTGTAAACTTGCCCTTAAGAAAAAAGACTTTGTCTGTACAGGCATGCAATAATTTTTGAGATTATTTGGTTTGATGGATGGAGGTAGAATAGAATTGTTTGTATAGACGGAGTTAAGGAATATGTCGATAGTTTGATCAACGCAACGTTTGTAAATAAATTTTAAATTTCGAGTGACGCTAAAATGCCATAGAATGGTTGTATACTTTTAGAATTTCAATGAATTCGTAGATTGATGGGATGCTGCAATTGATAGGTAGGTTAAGAGGTAATGCAATCGTTAAGGAATTTGGATAACTCGTAGATAGGTGTTGGGATCTGGGAGATGGTAGGTCGTAGTGAGTATCCGGTTTTGTGCATTTTTATATTTCCGCATAGCTATACTGGCTGGTCGTCTCCGATAATTTCTTGGATTTCGTGGAACCAACTTCGGCATTGTTTGATGTTATCTGTTTGTTAGCGGGCATTTTTATCGGGTCCCCGTGGTGTTTTTGTTTAATTTAGTAAAAATCGGTCGTCGATGATTGGTTGTAAATTTAATGGTAATCGGCTTTAGCCAAATTTACGTATGTGTTAGCTTTGTCAGCTCGTCTGATAACAATATTGGAATTGTGTTTTTTTTAGTTATTTTCCAGTGATTTTTACTTAAAATATTATTATAATTATTAGGAGGAGAGACCATATAGACATATATCCATATAAACATATGTCCCCATTAACCATATAGGACTATATAAATATTTAAGTGTATAAACATATGTTCATATAAACATATGTCCATATAAATCATATAGGACAGACCATATAAATATATGTCCATATAAACCATATAGTACTATATGAGCATATGACCATATAAACATCTGACCATATAAAACATATGTCCATATAAACATATGTCCATATAAATCATATAGGACTATATAATCATTTAACCGTATAAACATATGTTCATATAAACATATGTCCATATAAATCATACAGGACGGACCATATAAATATATGTCCATATAAACCATATAGTACTATATGAGCATATGACCATATAAAACATATGCCCATATAAACATATGTCCATATAAATCATATAGGACTATATAATCATTTAACAGTATAAACATATGTACATATAAACATATGTCCATATAAATCATACAGGACGGACCATATAAATATATGTCCATATAAACCATACAGTACTATATGAGCATATGATCATATAAACATCTGACCATATAATCATATGTCCATATAAACCATATATAAAAATATGATCATATAAAAATATGTCCGTCTATATTTCTGAGATGAGGAATTATGTACATTATTTACATTATCGGGACTATTGTCCTCATCTTTGTCGCCATATTTATTACAACGTTTCGGCCGTTGTACTCTCCGGCCTTCTTTAGATGATTGGAATGTCGAACTGAACCCTTTATTTAGATCACTGGGGTATACTGTTCTAGTTCCACGTGCCATGTTTTAATGGATGCCGGTTATCAGTTATCTCCTGCTAATTTCCCTCTGAAATTTCTCCACTGATTAACCGGGTATTGACCTCACACACTTTGGGTCCTTTCACTGGATCTAACTTGAGGACACATGGCACAGTGGATACACAATCTACCCCAGATGCCCTCTGATCATTCACCACTAGAGAACTTTTGTCGATGGTTTATTGCACAAACTGCTGACTCGTTGTTTGTCTCTTCAGTCTTGTTTATAGATGAAACAACATTAGGAAGAGATGGATTCACAAATGTTCACGACCAATATTTGTGGGCGGACCGGAATCCCAATAGCTAGACAGTTTATGATTAATGTGTGGGCTGGAATTCTGGGTGGATATCTGGTACATCCACATGTTCTACCAGCACGCCTTACAGAGGCTTTATTTTGAACACACTTCCAGATCTGATAAATGGGTTAATTCGTGAAACAACAAATTTGCGAAGAATATAATGACTCAATCATTCTTCTATCTATCTATCTATCTATCTATCTATCTATCTATCTCTGTTCATCTTTTTCTGACGGTCTATCAGTTTATGTAGCTAGTTATCTAGACGCACATATTTTCCGTTTGTTCATATCTATCTATCTATCTATCTATCTATCTATCTATCTATCTATCTATCTCATTTGGCATATCTATCTATCTATCTATCTATCTATCTATCTATCTATCTATCTATCTATCTCATTCGGCATATCTATCTATCTATTTATCTATCAATCAATCAATCTATTTCAGTTTGCTCATCTATCTATCTATCTCATTTGGCATATCTATCTATCTATCTATCTATCTATCTATCTATCTATCTATCTATCTCAGTCTGTTCATCTTTCTCTGTAGGTCTATCTATTTATGTATCTATTTATCTAGACGCACTTATTTTCCGTTTGTTCATATCTATCTATCTATCTCATTTGGCATATCTATCTATCTATCTATCTATCTATCTATCTATCTATCTCATTCGACATATCTATCTATCTATTTATCTATCAATCAATCTATTTCAGTTTACTCATCTATTTATCTATCTCATTTGGCATATCTTATTATCTATCTATCTATCTATCTATCTATCTATCTATCTATCTATCTATCTATCTCAGTCTGTTCATCTTTCTCTGTCGGTCTATCTATTTATGCATCTAGTTTATCTAGACGCACTTATTTTCCGTTTGTTCATATCTATCTATCTATCTATCTATCTATCTATCTCATTTGGCATATCTATCTATCTATCTATCTATCTATCTATCTATCTATCTATCTCAGTCTGTTCATCTTTCTCTGACGGTGTATCTATTTATGTAGCTAGTTATCTAGACACCTATCCTTTCCGTGTGTTCATATCTGTCAGTCTATCTATCTATCTATCTGGCTGGCTGGTGGCAGATAGGCTGGTTAGTCGGCTGGCAGTCTATCTATAAAAATTGAGCTAAATGACGCACGAGGAAGCAGCTTCCAACCCAAAAAAACAATAGAAATTGTGAGACCGAAATATTTTGTTGGTAACTTTATTTTTTTTAAAAATCCGGATAAATATAAACTGAAAATAAAAACGAAAAGCAAACATAAAAAATAAGCATTGTGTCAAAGAATAGCGGTAGACTTTGCTATTTTAGACATAGACGAATAAAAAATACCAACTAAAGTTATCTGGTTGCAGTCGACCATGAGAAAATGGTTAAAATAGCCGCACTTTTTCCAATGCTTTCTAGAAATAAAATAACATAATACACATCAAATAATGAAACAGTAATCAATATGTATGCACAAATAAGTACACTTAGCAGTATATATATATATATATATATATATATATATATATATATATATATATAGTATATTTCGCTACAGAAGATAAAATTCGTGATCATATACGGTATATCTATTGAAGCATTAACAATGATAACGAAAAAAGGCAACAGCCACTAATATCAGCACTGAACAAGGCCATACTGTGCTGACAGTGATTGAAAAATAAAAAAAATGGATATATTGCCATCAGTATAGATACACATATATCAAAATCTCTATATTCAGTTAAAAATTTACAAAATCCTTGATAATGGCTAATAGAAGAGACGAAAGCGCTTGGTTTTGTACAACATTTTGAAAGATTCTGCAGACTTGAAAAAAAAATTAATCACAGTATCATGTCAGTCGTTTTTAAAAGAAACATGAATAAAAGAGTGATTGCTTCCTAAATATGCAATATATATATATATATATATATATATATATATATATATATATATATATATATATAAAAGAATTATATATATATATATATTAAATATATATATATATATATATATATATATATATATATATATATATATATAAAATATTAATATATAAATATTTCCATCTTCCGGTCTGAGTTTTTGAGAAATCGTCTTAGAAAAATATGCGTTACGTAATATTTTTGTCGTAAAGAGTTTATGTTAGACTCTATCGCTTATTATAAGTTTAGTAGGAGAGAAGGTTCGGAGAATAATTTCCCACTCAACAAAATGTTTAATATCTAAAAAAAAACAGCACTAAACTACCTGAGTTTATTTTTCCGAGGTTTGCAGACAAGACGTTTAGCAATCTCGTGACTTTTGTCATAATAATCACTGAAAAACACCGTTGTGTCAGCACAGTACTGTCCTCTCGGCAGAGCAATGGTGTGAGGAAAATAATTATTCCGGCCTTCAGTAATGGTACCAAGATTCATACACCGAATTACATCTACAAAGTCCATCAAGATATTGGTGAATACATTTAAAAAAGAGGGAACAGTAGAAAGGAAAACTGGATCAGGAGGTCACGACAGGAAGAGGGATCATCATTTCAACTTAGAGCTAAATACACTTCTTTCAAAGTCGAGTCCAATAGTGTTATAAAAAACCTCGGAGAATTCCAGTAACATAGTCATTTCTAAAATACACTGGATCAAAAATTAATCCAATGATTGGACAATTTTGCTGTTACAAGATTTGGACAATTTTGGTGTTATACCCGTATATATATATATATATATATATATATATATATATATATGTGTGTGTGTGTGTGTGTGTGTGTGTGTGTGTGTGTGTGTGTGTGTGTGTGTAAAAATATATAGAAAATACGAATGAACTCGTTCGGTAAATAATGCAAAGTTCTTTAGTATTTTTGTTATTATTTTTAAAAAACAGTGCTCGATACAAAAGTAGAGCCTAAATATAATTATTTATTTGCAAAAAAAAAAATTCGCTTGAAGATGGAACAGAGCTTGGTACTTTAATTCAATTTAATTCAAATAATTATATTGAAGTTTTCGGCTCTTGTTTTGAAACATGAGAACTCTTATGTAGCGTTGTAATCATATTTTTAAATAAATAATTATATATATATACATATATATACATATATATAACTATTTTTTGTCAGTAGTAATAATAAGGTTCGATCATTTGTTTAGATTTTGAGAAGGACGTGTTTCCATTCCACCTTCGAACATGCAATGGATCTTGAAGCTCAGGTCATCGATCATTTAGTCAAATGATAAAACCATGTAATCTAAAACAAAGCAAATTCAATGAAATTGGTCATGCATGTTACGGGGAGACAAGGTGGCCTCATGGTTAGCGGCTCGGGTTGAGGAATTACTGTAGTCCCGTTCGAATTCCGTTCGAGTTCATCACATTATACTTAAAAGTAAGCCTGCAATTTTCAAACATTTTTTAAAATAGCGACACTAAATTTTGATTATTCTTACCCTAGGGAAAGGTATGATTCCAAAACTCCCACGTGCTATGGGTTAATAGTAAGACAAACTGTCCTTTAGCCTTGGTTGGCGCCAAGTCTAAAGGAAGGAAAACTCTGAATTGAAACAAACCTGGAATAAATATCCTCCTTACCTAAGACACACCACTACTGATCTGGTTGCAAGACATGCGGTGCTCCTTACAAACTAAATGAATTACGGGGTTCTTGATCGTGTTTTGGTGAGTACCCATTTTTTCTGTAATGGGGGGGGGCGTCCGTATCAAGAAAATTATTCTGCAGTTTCTTGACGACATACTATATATAAAGTATAGTGTATGTGTTTGTACGTGTGTGTTTCCAAACAATTCATCCGCTCCCACTGGTCCGATTTCAATGATTCATAGCCCATTCAAAAGCCCTAAAAAAGTTATGCGCAGGGAACGATTTTCGTTGATCTCAGATTCCAGGCTGCCAAATTATATATATATATATATATATATATATATTATACTAGACATTATCGTTGCTTTCATGGTTCAAGGAGAGTAACTCTTATTTTCCTTTTGTATCCAAAACTGCAGTGAACGTTTTATTATAAACTAGCTTAAAAGCCACCCTATCGGGCGGCATTTAAGCTAGCCCCTAGCTAGAGATGAGTAAATGCGATAGACATCAATAAACTACGGAAGAACTCAAAGCTGATCGTTGCATTTAAGTATTCAATTAATGTTTAAGCTTGCCTTTTAAAAGTTCAACGATAATTCATCTGCTGTCGCTTAATTTAAAAGCGATTTGATGTACGTAGATCCTTATTTTCTGCACAAACAATTATTTTTATCTCATGAGTGACAAAAAGGAGACAATTTATACGATAAAATTAATATAGGGTAAAAGATGGGAAAATAAAAATTATAATTAGTTATACATTCAACAAAATGGAGCAAAAATTGGAAGTCAATTCTCCCACGAATTCTGAGATTAAAAATTCCCGGGTCTACTTTATAGCAATTTGCTATTTATTCGACCCTCCACGAAGTCAAATTGTGACACAAGTTCAGTTTAATGTGGGGAGTCCGAGCGCGTAAACCCGGGCTAGGAACAAAAAAATTACCTGTGCCCTAGCAACCGCCGGTTGACCTGGCCTCAGTACGAGCACAGATCCCTCTCTTTAGTGTAATGAGAGGGCGCGTCCTCGTGTAGCTGTTCTACAAAGACGCAACTGAGAGGTTATACATAGGGTGTTACAAAGTAATTGAGAGAGAAATTTGTATTTACTTCCAACGAGATACCGTCGGTTACGCTGGCCTCGGTACGAGCACCGATCCCCGGTCCCTCTCTCTAGGTAACCCCACTAAGACGAGTTGTGACACAGGGTCTTTTTTTAGGTGGGGACTCGAGAGCGTACACCCGGGCAAAGAACAAAAATTGCCCGCCGTCCCTGCAACCGTTTGGATGCGCTAGCCTCGGTGCAAGCACCGATCGGGCGCAACCTCGGGAAGCTGTGATTCTGTCCTTTGACGGGGCCGCCCCTGAGTGCATTCTACCCAAAGACAGAGACACAACTTAGAGATGATAAAGAGGTTGTTAGAAATTTGTCGACAGTAATGTACACCCCGTCAGCTCAGTATCTTTATTATATAGTCTTCTTCTAAGCAATATCACTCTTCAGGTTTAACTAATTTTCATATTGATTTTTAAAAATTATTTCATTAATTAACTGTCCTTCATTACTGTTCTTTTATTCGAGGATTGTTTGGATTTTCATATCAAAAAGACTTCTGTTTGGTAATGTCGTCATATATAGTGCAGAAAAGTGTTTGAAATTTGCAGTCTTTTGGCTTTCAACAAGTTGGCATCTATTTGTAAAACTTTCCTTAACTATAACAAGACAATTTATGAATGAAATGCTCATTTAAAATCTTTATTTCAAAGATTTCAAGTAGTGAATATATTCTATTTTTCCGTAGCGATAGCAAGCGGGCGAAGCCAGCTAGTCCTAAACAGAATTAGATGAACAATTATCATTGTCTAACCTGAAGATACAATTTCTGTTTGAGAGAATTCGTCGTTACAAGTGCCTCTCAAATTCACATAGGTTCTTGGTTTATATTGTACTTACTTCGAAAATTTCGCTCGGTAAATATCTTTACTTTTTCTTGAGAAAACCATTTCCTGGTTCAAGAAAACAAACACTTAGCCAGGAAAAGGTGTCCCTCTAATCGACCATCTGTCAAATCTCGCATCTTTCACGTTCATTTATAGTAATTAGGTGTAAAGATTCGTCAATTTTATTAGATATTTTACTGATATTCCTGGTGTTAAAATTCTGATCAGTTTTGGGGAGTTTTAAAACAATAGTCAGTTGTCAAACCTGATTAACTTTTTTAATTAATACTTTTTTTTTCTCTTTTACATTTTCTTACATTATAAACCACTTTCAATCTTGGCCTTAGTTCTATGAGCCCAAACCATGCCCCAAAACTAACCACCGCCATATCTCTCTATGCTTGCTTGTGAGCTAGAACGCAAGTCATCTCGTTACAGTTAATTTAATCCTCATCAAGAGGAAGCACGGTGGAGTAATGAATAGCGGCTTGAATTGAGGAATCGGAGAGCCGAGTTCGAATTCCAGTCGAATCCATTACATTACGTGCTAATACCCTTGGGAAAAGTTGTGAGCTATGGGTAA